TTCAAAAGCAGGAAAGGAGAATCAAGCAAAGTCAGAGCCGGGAATGGTGGAAAGGCCAGTGACTGCAGAGACGGGATTATTAAACTAGTCCGTTTTCAGGAGGTCAATTTCGTCTTCTTTTTTGTCGACTGAAACTCGGAAGCTACGTGAAATCATCTGGAGTGACACCGTTATTGTACTTGTAAGTGTTTACTGTAAATTATTTCCCGTTTTTCTGTGGCTGTTTCTATTCATTTATGTGTTAAATGTGTTAACTACTTTTCTAAACTGTTTCTTTCGCTAATCAGTTCATGTACCAACCACCAACTGCCACAACTATTCACTGAATTGCCACTCGAATAAGCGACTCCGGGAGAATCGCCTTACTTCATACTGTTCTGCGGTCCCTATCAAAATACACCAATGTTCGGAATCTTTTAGAGCTTTTTTCTTTGCTAGCGCCTGAATGTGACATTTTTGCAGCATAACTCGCTGGACTCCATCGTTGTGCAACCATGCTGCCTGGTTTCCTCTGAATCCCCTCGAGTCTCCTCTGGTTTTCCTTTGCACCTCTAGTAAAGTGACCTACATATCGTTCCTTCTGTTCTGCTCAATCGGCTCTTGGAATTCTTGGGAGCCATCTTTAGCATTTTTTGCTTTGAGCCTTCCTTTCCTGATGTTGTTTTCTTGAGGTGTTCGGTGGTTACGCCATCTGGGAAAGGTCTATGGTGTGGGCCGTTCCTTCAGGCAGTACCTAGATATCTCAACGGTTTCAAAAGCGCTCTCCTTCCAACTACATTTTCGATTTCCGTTTTTGTCACATGACTGGTTTCGTTACCTTCCGAGTTACTCTTTTTGCCGGGAAGTGCTGCAGAATGATAGGTTGCGGACTGTAGCCTGGTTAGAATTCCTTCCTTGGAAAAATTATTATTTAAATTAGAAGTTTGCTCGAGATATTTATATTTCTGCTTAACTTTTTATTTTGTGGCCGCGACATAAAGGATAAAGGATAAAGTCTTGGGGCGTTGAGCCCACGCTTCGATTTCCTTTCGGAATCGTAGTGGCGTATTGAATGCGTATTTGGCCTATACAATGACTTGCGGTGTCCAGCCGATGTATAAGGCAGTGCTTTTATACTTCCAAACAAGTCTGGTGCCACTTTAGCTTGGTTGGCCGAGGCGGGTTCGAACGGAGATTTGAACCCGTGACCATGCGTGCCTGAAGTGCGCCACCTGCCACTACTCCACCTCCGCCCGAATAATGTGAATAAAAAAAGTATTTTCTTCAAACTCCATTTATTTAGAGTGGAGAGAGGGAGAGAACTCTATTTAGAGTCGATACTGTTGGTTTTGCGTATTTTGAAGTTATTCGCTTCGATTTTGAAAAAAGATAGGTTAGCGAAAAGTCCCCGTTTCACGTATTTGGTATAAGTAGCGTTCAGAAATCCATCCCAGTAATGGAAGATAAAACGTATGGATATGTATTCGCTTGTAATATGTTTGCAAAAAATATTAGAGTAAACTCTGTCATTACTGCCTAGTAATCGTCTTGTGGGGTGAGAAACAAGCTGAACTGAGTCAGTAGTATTTCAAATTTAGGCAACGGCAGCTTTCTTTCCCGATTTTCCGACCGCACCTATTGTCAGCTTGCGATCATACAGCTTTATCGATTTTTGCTAAAAATATTTCTATTTTTGCTTAACATTTTATTCTGTAGCCATTGTCACAGCCGACATTTATTCAACGGTACAATATTCTGTAATTATGCAGGGGCAAAGAGATACACTTTGATGATCTTTTGAAGTTATCGATTTACAGTCTGATTTATCGTCGTTTTCCGAATGACATTGACCAGTATCTGTAAAAGTTTGAGTTAAAAGTTACAAAGTAAGAGCTGAGATCACTAGGATACTTTGTAAGGAATACCTGGGATCCTCTAAATCGGAGCCTGAGCGTTTCCCGAATGACATGGACGCAAATCTGAAAGGAAATGGTAATATGAAGCCCTGGGAGGGATGGCTATGGCTTTACCTGGGATCGTCTAAATCGAAACCGGAGCGTTTCCCGAATGACATCGACGCAAACCTAGAACACCCACAATAAATTCCTGTGAAGGCAGAAGTACCTCTAACTAGTCAGCACCTGGGATCTTCAAAATTAAAGCCTGAGCGTTTTCCGAATGACATGGACGCAAATCTGGAAGAAAATGGGGAAATGAAAGGTTCAGTGAAACTTTTCAATCAGTACCTGGGATCTTCTAAGTCGAAGCCTGAGCGTTTCCCGAATGACATCGATGTAAATCTGAAGGGGGTTATATAATTGGGTATACAGTATCGAATAGTTTTATCCATTATTTACCTAGGATCATCGAAGTCGAAACCAGACCGCTTTCCGAAGGACAAGGAGGCGAATCTGAAAAGTAGGGGTAGAGCTAACTTTACCAGCTCTATACATTGTTGCTGGGAACCTTTTTAGCAACAAAGTCTCTAAAAATATCGAGGAGTTAGTTGGTTTCCGCTTGAACGGCTCCCCTGGGAGCGGAGTGTAGGCGGAGGGATGAAGGGGGAGCAGATGTCACTTGATTTGAGACAAGGTTATGTGATTCGCTCGAAACACTCTTTTACATAACTTTCAGAAAAGTGCAAATAATCGAAAATCTAGTATTTTTGAAGAGTATTCGATTTTTAGGCATAATTTCTTGAAAACAACTGCATTGTTGAGAATATTCGAGGGCACAGTTCGTGATAATTCTATACTCGGATACTCGGTTCGAGTGAAAAAGTTTAATTTATTATGGAAGTTAGTGCAAAAGTGATGAAGAAATAGCAAAAGTTGGCGGTCTTAAGGAATAAGATGGCTCCAAAAAAGTAGTAAAAAGGAGTTGTACGAGATTTTGATGACAGAAGTGGCATGAAAGGTGTATTTGGAAAAGCTGTGGCTTGTGTGTTATAGCGTAGAACTGGCTACGTCATGCCCAAAAGGCCAAAAATCGCTTTTTATTGTCGCGATGAGTCACGACTAGTTGTTTTTCAACATGTGTGCTCCATTGCGAATGGTGCAACCTCCTTAGGGTCGCTGAAACACGGCCACACCTGGTGGGTGTGGCACCTTTGAGCCCTTGTAACGCCGTAGATCAGCTTTCGATCCGTGAGCTGGCAATGTGAGAACCTCACATTTACCCTAGGGGGTATATTGGGGACTATTTTTATCATGAAATGTGCCTTCAAGGGTTACCTTGGATCATCAAAGTCGTATAGTGTAGATCGTTTCCCGAATGAGTTGGAAATGAACCTGAAAAAATTAAGTGAAGATTGGATAAGTTGTAACCACGGGTTCCATTTAGTCATAAGTTGTGAGCAGTATACTAGTACTGCGTCCATATTTTCAGCACAGTATGACTTGTAATATAGTTGCTCGTGCTCTATTATAATCCAATTTTTTTTCTTGTACTCATTTGTATTCGAACATACTCATTTTTCACGCCCAAATTTGATATTTTGCATTACAAATTCCTCTATCGAGTATTACATAGTAATTTTTTGATAGCACATATTCTAGTAGTTGTTTGTCATTCACAGAAGCCCACACCTTACCTCGGGTCCATGTCAGCCCGTTTTATGTAAGCCAATCCAACGTTTGTACCCAAGAATGGAGATCGCTTGATGAATCTTAAATAAAATAGTGCTGTGCGTGTAAGGCATAGGGACAATCAGGTTATAATTAGGAATAATCAGGATCGAATTTAAAGGGTTGTGAGGCCGTTCTCCGAAAGCGACTCGGGAATTCGCGAGGAAATGAGCAATGCTGGGACTTCTTATTGATTGGCGAAGCCTGGCTTTCGCGCCGCGTCACCTGCACGTTCGCCGATGTAAATTCCGACTTTGAACAGGGTTGCGAGCGTTCTGGCTTCAAGTCGGGAAATAGTCGGGATTTATGGGAATAACAAGTTTGGATTAGCGTTAAGGTGGGGGGCTCTAATGGCATTCAATGAAAACCTTACCGAGGACGGTTGAGCGTTGTTGTTACTAAGCCATTTCTTTTCCCAAACGCTGTCGAGAACAACCTGAGACAGCAAGATTCACATTATTCGCGAACATAGCTTTTCTTACTGATCAGTCATGAGCTCATTATGTTTTGCATATTTTCATGAGGTTTTTCTGATATTTACGAGCTTTTTTCGATTTTGAATATATAGAAAATTGCGTGGGAGGCGAACTTTACTTGCGAAAAAAAGAACTACCGGAATTTCAAGAAAAAAACTCCCAAATTAGGAGTCACGAATGGAATTTCCGGTGATTGGAGACAGTGACAGTCCTAGAAGTCCCCAAAAGTAAAAACAGAAACTGTAGCAATGCACTAGATGTAATATGTTTCAGCGCTTTCTGCTCGATATCAGGAAAAGTTCGAATGGTACCATGTGGTAGGTCTCACCTCGGATCGTCAAAGTCCAAAGTCCTCTTGTCGTAGTGTGAACTTAAGTATCTGTAATAAGCAAAATAGCACAAACCTTTGATTGTTGGAAAGCAGTCAAGCTGAGATGTCTGGAGAATCATGCATGATTTCATAAGCAGTAGTAACTTAAGTTGCTGAAGCCAGTCATTAAGGGGTGACGTGCTTTAGATGTGGGTTTTGTGCCAATACAGAAAGCTAACTGAAAAGATGCTGCTGAAGAAACGTGAGTCGTTAGTTGAACTGAAAATGTGCTTTCCACAGTGTTACGGATAGAGGTAGGAAAATAGTAGGGTTGTCGGATTCAAGTTATCACTTGAAGGCACAGTTCTCGTTAAGAACCATTTCTGGGATTCTTCGGATGAACCTGTGACCCCTGAAGAAAGGCTGAGGGACACTGGCAGGTCCGAAAAATGCTCAAGACAGGGTGTAATAAGGGTCCTGCCTTTTTGCCAGAGAAAAAAGCGAAAACGATGTTCTTCAAGTGTTTTTGGTGTTGATGAGTACCATTTGAGGGATGTACCTATGCATTCCACTTCCGTTTAGAGTTTCAGAGCTGTTTGAATGTGTTCGTAATCAATACAATGATGCTACCGATGTTACAAGTCTATGTTTTAACCCTCTATGACAAGCTCGGTACTTATCTACTGACCCCAAAGGGATGGAAGGTTCGGCTTGCTCAAGCTGGTATCAGTCTGGGACCCGAGTGACAGCGCGTCTATTGACGCCAAACCATCTCCATTTAGAAAGTTTTACATCGACTGATATTT